GACTCTCAACACTTCCGTCTCCTATGTCCATCTCCACCTCAGTCCAAGTGTGTACATTTTTAATATATAAGGCAACACCTCCTCCCTTTTTCCCCTGTCTATCCTTCCTGAGCAAGCTGTACCCATCCACACCAACATTCCAATCATGTGTATTATCCCACCAAGTATCAGTGATGCCAACAACGTCATAGTTGTATTTATTTATTAGCACTTCCAGTTCTTCCTGCTTATTACCCATACTTCTCGCATTTGTATATAGGCATCTAAGATACTGGTTTGATCTTGCCTCCCAGTTTTGCCCTGACCCTCCTTTCTCTCTGCCATTATAGCCCACGCTCCCTCTTGTTTCCGACCAGTCTCCCATGTCTCCATGTTCCCCACTTACCTGTTGGCTTTGCTCCCCATCGAACCTAGTTTAAAGTCCTCCTCACTAGGTTAGCCAGTCTGTGTCCAAATAGGATCTTTCCCCTCCTCAAAAGGTGAACACCATCTCTGCCTAGCAGTCCTTCCTCGAATAGCATCCCATGGTCGAGGAAGCCAAAGCCCTCCTGGCGACACCATCTTCACAGCCAGGCATTCACCTCCATGATGCATCTGTCTCTGCCTGGGCCCCTACCTTTGACAGGAAGAATCAAAGAGAATACCACCTGCACGCCAAACTCCTAGACCCATACTCCCAGAGCCCTGTAGTCACTCTTGATCTGCTCAGTGTCACACCTCACAGTATCATTTGTGCCCACATGGATGAATAGTATGGAGTAGTAGTCAGAGGGCTGGATAATCCTCGACAATGCCTCCGTAACATTTCGGATACAGGCCCCCAACTGCCAGCCACAGCACACAGTCCTTCAAACAACCAAACAGACTGATAAACACAAGCTCAGCACACAGCAAGTAACCCCCAAACACAAACACACACTACAGACAGTCACTTACCCCAAGGGTGCTGTATTGCTCCTCCTTCACCTGGAGAACTCCCTTGCGAAACTCCCTTAGCAGCCCCTGTTCGCAAAAGCTCCCTGGTCGCTTGTGCGCTGTAGTGGCCTATGGCCTAGTTCATGTAGTGGCCTATGTCTAGACCAGAGATTCAGTGGAGTTCAGCTCTTCTCCACCGCCTGTTGACTCCTTCTCTGCTCTATTTGGAGCTCACCTGCTAGCTGTATAACGCGAGCAAGTGTTAACAGTGTTACTTCAGAGAATTCCAATTTGTAAATGCTTTATTTCTTAAAAAATGGACCAGCATTTCAATTAACCCAGATCATGATCCTGTTGGATGAATTTCCATCTAGCATATCATTACTGAATCCACTGTGGGTTCAGGGGTGATAAATTTGGCTACAGAAAAAGGGATACAGAGACGTTTACCATACCCACCCCCCCTCCCTGGTCAGACAAATACTGGGCAAATACTGCAAAAAAATACTCACAAACATTAACTCAAATACAACTGCAAATTCATTTCAATGGTATTTGCACCACTTTTATGTCAGTGAACTTTGTACTATTCAGTGAATGTTCCAAACATATGTGTGAACTTGTATTTGCATGAGTATTTACACTAGAAGTGTTCGCCTGGCCATCTTGAAAGCTTTGTGGTTTGGGAGGCATCTAATCAGGAACAAAAACAATACCATGTGACTTAAATGATCAATTATACAGCATAAGTAGTAAATACACAAATAATTCACAAACAGCAAATATCTGAATAAATTGTTCACTGTGAATAGCTCACCCGGTTCTAATGGAGGGAGAAGAGAAACTTTATTAACTTGGAGTTAAGGTGGAAGACTCTCTCTCTTACTTCAGTTGAAATCTTTCAGAAACTATTGGAATTTTCTTAAAAGATACAGACATTACAAAGCTTAGAAATTAAGTATTCAAATTAATATAAAGTGGAACTAACTTCACTCTGCTCCTTTTACAGCGAATACAATGCCACAACTTTTAGAACAATTTGTACAACACTGTTCCCCACAATACAAGTGAAATTAAAGTATATAACATGTAATTTTATATGATATAATTCACTAAATACTTTTAAATCTAATCATAAAAGCAGAAATAAAACTTTTTTAAAAAACAAATGCTAAGAATCATATCTAAACTGAGAACTGGATTTCAAAGGATCTGGATTCTTTTCATGTAGTAGAGTTTTCTGCCTTTCAGCAGCACTGAGAACTCTGTCTAGATTAATCCATGTCCCATAGGAATGGAGATAAATCTGTTTTATTGTTAAATCTTACCAATCAAATGCTACCAATTTACAGTTGTAGTGGGTCCTAAGAGGGTTGTGCCTTTACAGATGTGCACATTTCATACTGGTTTTGAAAACTTATGAGATAAATTTATGTGTAAGAAATGAGCTTTACTGAATCCATAAGAGACTGTTCCTTGCATCCGAAGAAGTGGGCTGTAGTTCACGAAAGCTTATGCTCTAATAAATTTGTTAGTCTCTAAGGTGCCACAAGTACTCCAGTTCTTTTTTCCTTGCTTCTGCAACCAGTGGGCTAGGGCTGTCAGCTAACTACTACTCAAGTCACGATGGGAGCTTGGTAGCACAAGCAGCATCTCCTGTTCACAGCTGGCTCCTCAAACCAAACTCTCAGGAGCAGTAGCCCCCCGCAAAGGATTGTATCACTTCAATGTTCATTGGAACACAGGTCATTTGTCAAGATCGTCACCCAGATATGGGCCTCCAGTAGCACCCAAGCAGCAGCAAAACTCTTTCCCCTCCCAACCAATAGCAAGAATTCTGTTCCCACTTGCAGCGACCGGAGGTCAGCCCAGTAGCTAAGCTCTGCCCTCACCAGCCTCCTTGCAGCAACAGCTCTTCCCCTGCCAGCCACAACAGCTCTGCCACTCCAGAACTTCAGCAAGAGCTCAGTCCCCACCCCTCAGCACCAGGGGCCTTGTCCCCTAGCACTGCTGCTCTATGGGCTCTTGTCCTCTCCCCCCCCACCCCCAAGAGTTCCCCTCCCAACACCAACACACATGCACCAAACCTGTTTCTAACAAGAATGTTGTAGCCTTGCAGCTTGCCACGGGAACTAAAGTAAGTCTGGGTGTGGGCATGTAGAAGCCAGCCTCTGTGTGGCAACAGCAGCAGCGTGAGGCTTGTCTGCTGCTGCTTTATTTGTTGATTGTCCCCAGTTGTCTGTGAGGCAGGAGGCAGCCACTGAGATTTCCACCTCTCCTTTGGTCCTACATCCATTTACACAGAGGAAAAACAAAACACCAGCAAGCAGCTAAAGCCCCTCTGGCTGCTGCAGGCTTTGGGATGAGGTAGCTATACTCTGCAAGGGGGATAGGACCCCCGCCCCCCTTACTTCTTCCTTCTCCTAGATGGCTCCCTCTCTCAGGCTGGAGCTGTCACCAGCAGGACATACACCCTGTGCTGGGAAAAGCCTGAGCCTGCCGCTGGGGGCTTTGTGTTGAAGGCTGGCTCAGTGCCATTCCTCCTCCTCTTTCCCATGTTGCTCTTTTCCCCCGGTCTCTGTCAGGCGTCCAGCTGCTGACAAGCAAGAGGGGGAGTCAAGGCAACAAGGTGTCTCTGCTGTTTTCATCCCTTTGCCTGGCCTTCATAGACTTACTCTGCCTGCTGCAGGTACGCCATCTACTTGCCAGTCATTATTACTGCATGGATACAATAACTACTCAGCCAGGTGTAAATGTCAATTTTAAGTGGATCATGATCTCCAGTGGACAATAGAGTTTTCCTAAGTGATTCTTAGGGGGTGGCAGCATGTGTGTCATCAGTGTGAAATCTATTTTAACATCTTTGCATATTCATTATATAAAGAACAAGATAATCAGATTCTGAGACTACCAAAGAAATATTTTCAATGTCCATTAATGACTAACATTTAACTGTTGGAAGAGCAGGCACCTTGTAATAAGAGACTGAAGATGCAGAGGTGTACAGTCTATATCTGTACATCAGAAGGAGCATAATATAATGGTTAAAGCGCACAATTAGGAGTCAGGAGAGCTGGATACTATTCCTGGGTCTGCTACTGACTGACTTGCTACGTGACCATAGCGAGCCCACAAATATTTCTGTTTCATTTCCCCATTGATAAAATGCAAGTAAAAATACCTACCTTACAAGGATATTGTAAGGATTCATTTGTTAATGTAATCTTATAGATTCTCAGGTAGAATGTACTATAGAAGGGCAAAATATTTCCCAACTCTCCCAGTTTAATTTTCAGATTTGTGCTGCTCTAAATATTTTCTTTCCTTCTTTCCCAAAGTGCTTTACAGACTATATACATTAGAATCCTTCACTCATAGCTGAAATGCAGATTTTCATGCAGTGGTATGTAACAGCAGTTTAACAGCACAACTCTGCACTAAATTGTGGGCAAGAGAGCTTCTTACCTGAAAAAATCCAACCACCTCCATTCATTCCATTGGACATTTTATTACGCTAAGATGTGTTTTGTTTTTAAACAAGAACAGAGTTGTACCTCAGGGATATGGGTCCTTCCTCCGGGGTCATGCATATTCTGTGGTCTGCCTGGAAAAACCAACATGCCACAAAACAGTCAACGCGAAGTAAATGTTAATAGGAAAGACACCAATAAGACCGTGCTGATGCCGCTTATCCTCACTCCACTTCCAAAATGGTACTGTTTATCCCATTCTCTAGGACTTAAAAATATTCCTTGAAGTTAAGAAGAATGGTACTACCACAGAACACATCCTTGCGAGTCTTTTTGCAGACCTCAAAGAAAGTCTAGTCTTCCAGGTTAATATTTAAAACGTCAAGGTAAACACAGCAAAATCACAAAACCGGAGGAAGACTAAAGCCCAGATCCACCAAAATGTTGGCTCCATCAACAAACTTACAAGGATCCATTCAGACACTTCCTGTCATCTCATGATAGGAACAAATTATCTCTTCTTTCCTCCATCCCAGCCCAGAAAGAGTCCTTGCTTTTCCACCAATCAAAGCTACCAAGTCACGCTATGACACATGGCAGTCCATCACTGCACTTAGCATGCTGAATGCGTGAGAGAAAGAGACTCACACCACACACACACACACAGATTCCAGATTTCACAGTCTGTCCTCTTCCTTCCCCCTCTCACTCTGGTCACTCATAAGTCAAAACAAGACAATGTGCTATAGCGACTTTTCCTTTGCCCAAGCTCCTCCTCCTGAGCCTCCTACCATTGTAGTTAGCTGGCTGGAAGCCGGCAACTGATGTATTCTGACTCTTCCTTCCTCTTGTCCATTTTTCACTTGGCTCATAATATAACTTGAAATGAGGAGTCAAGATTGGAGATGGAAATGCATTTCCTCTTCTCTTCTGCTGGAACTTATCCTTATAGAAACATCCTACACCATTTAATGGGAATGAAATTAATAGGGTTCTACATAAATATAAAAGGCTTCTGTACAAATGACTCTAAAAACCTATAACATTTAATCGAGAATGATATACTTTCTATATTATATATCTAAACCATCCTATATAACTCTACAGCAGGGATATGATTTTCTGTCTAATTCTGGCCTTCTACAAAATGGGATACTGAACCAGGACTGTGCTGGGTGCATTGGTCCTCCTCAGAATGGTTAAGATTAGATCTTCACAGTGATATTATCAAACCTATCAGCTACCTTCAAGTTGATTGGGTGTTTATGTCTAGTCCCCCTATTATTAAGATTATCTGACAATTTCCACTATAAAACACTGTATCCAATTGCTTACAACTTTGCAAAACTTTAACAGTTTGAGCTGAAGTTTTCCATGCCAGGTGTCTACTTCAGGCTGAATTTTTGGGGCTAAATTTAATTCATAATGGTTAAATTATTTCAGAGAATGATGCTAAGGGAAAATGTTGTTTTGACTATGTTAAAAAATTCAGGTGACCTTTATTTTTATATGCTCTAACACCCTGATTCTTTGGAACGGTGACTTGAAATCTGGCAGGGGGGGGGGGGCCCGCTGTGTCAAGGATGTGCTTTTTGCCATCCCCATAAAAATATAGACAAATTTGGCCAAGTTATAGGCCGTTGGAAAAAAAAAATCAGATTGCACATGCTCAGTAGAGACTTGCTAGAGCTATCCTGCTCAATTCCCAGAAGAATCCATCCACACTGAGCATGCCCCAGCCAAGGGCTGAGCTGCGCAGGACAATCCTAGCAACTGCAGCTCTGGGCTGCTGCAGCATGAGCCAGGGCAAGACTCTGGAAATGACAGCAGGGAACCTCTCTATTCTATGCTCTCAATTACGTGCCTCCTGCTGAGCTAGAGCAAAGAGTAGGACAGACGTGGGCAAACTACAGCCCACGGGCCACATCTGGCCTGTGGGACCGTCCTGCCCGGCTCCTGGCCGGGGAGCCTAGTCCCTGGCCCCTCCCCCGCAGCCACGCTGGTTGCGCTCTGGCCCACGGCTCCCACTGGGCAGCGTGGGGAGCGCAGCTGGCTCTGGCCAAGTGTCATGCCTGCAAGCTCCTGCTGCTGGTAAGGGGGCTGGAAGCGGGGGGGGCAGTCAGGGAGGAGGGGGTGGTTGGATGGGGTGGAGGTTTGGGTGGTGGTGGTCAGGGGATGGGGAACAGGGAGGGTTGGGAGTGGGAGTCCGAGTCCCAGGGGGCCTGTCAGGGGGCGGGGATGTGGATGGGGTCGGGAGGGCAGTCAGGGGAGACAGGGAGCAGGGGGGGTTGGATAAGGAGGTGGGATCCTGGGGGGCAGTTAGGGGTGGGGAGGGTCCCAGGAGGGGGTGGTCGGAGTCCCGAGGGGGCTGTCAGGGGGTGGGGGTGTGGCTAGGGGTTGGGGCAATCAGGGGACAGGGGGGTTAGATAGGGGGTGGGGGGCCCGGTAGGGGGCAGTCAGGGGACAAGGAGCAGAGGGTGTTGGATGGGTTGGGAGTTCTGAGGGGGGCAGGAAGTGGGAGGGAGTGGATAGGGGGCAGGGGCCCAGCTGTTTGGGGAGGCACAGCCTTCCCTACCTGGCCCTCCATACAGTTGTGCAACCCCCATGTGGCCCTTGGGCCAAAAAGTTTGCCCACCCCGGAGTAGGAGAAAGTTGCCTGATTCAAATGATGGGGGGGGGGGGGACAAGAACTGAACCTCAGGAAGCAGATGGGACAAGGAGCCTCGGTGGAAGGAGTCTGGGCCTGAATGCTGGCATGAGAGAGAAGAAGAAAACTGGAAGATGGAGAGGAGACTGGGACTGGCTGAACAAGGAGAATGGGACCGGGAACTGGGGACAAGGGGGAGAATGGAACTGGCTGGCCAAGGAGACTAGGACTGGGAGACAAGGAGGGAAAGTGGAGGTAAGGGAGAGACTGGGAGCCAGTGGGTTGTGGGAGACTGAGGTTGGATGAGGATCTGGGGGAGAGACTGGGACTAGGAACCAGAGGGAAGGAGATGAAGGGTGAAGAACGGCAGCTCTGATGAGCAGTCCGAGAGCAAGTGGAGAACTGGGACTGGCTGGTCAAAAAGGCTGGAAAAAGGTGTTTGGGGTTGGGAGGCACTGAGATTTGAAAAAAAGAGCCCAGGGTGGAGAGAGACTGGGACTGGGAGCCAGTGGGGACAGGACACATAGGCAAGAGAGTGCAACTGGATGTTAGTGACAAGATGAGAGAGAAAGAGAGAGATTGAATGAGGAGCCAAAAGGATGGGATCTGGGATTGGCTGGGCAAGGAGCCTGAAATTAGCATCAGAAGCCTGAGGGTAGGAGTCTGGGACTGGGTACATGAAGAGAACAGGCCTGGGACAAGCAGCTGGGGTGGGAAAGAGACAGGAGTGGAAAACGGGCATGCTTGAGGGGCTGTGACAAAAGGGATCAAAATTTGGGGAAGGGAGGGGCGGGGAGAGCAGAAGAGTTGATGCTTGCTAAAGCACACTTTCCTCCAGTGCCTGGAATAGAACCCAAGATCCTCAAGTCTCATCTTTCCTCTTGTGTCAGCAAACATCCTGTTAAAGCCACTGATGAAGTGTCCCATCCCCCCGTAGCGCTGATCCATATAAGGGATGACGACTCATTAGTTACTTCAATAGTTCAAGTGATATAGGTTTGTGTGGTGGATATGAAGGTTCCAGTCATCCTGACAACCCATGTGAATGTCAGTGATAACTCATGATGAAATCTGTGGGTTTTTAATTTTTTTTAACCTAGAAAAATATACACAAAAACATTAAAAGAACATTAATAATGTTGCAAAGTCAAGCTCTCAACAGCTACGAAATAGCGGGGGGCAAGGGGGAGGGAGGAACCCATGTGCTCCTCATTTTTCTGGGTGCCCAACTTGAGACCCTGAGGTCTGATCTGCAGAAGTGCTAGCACTCACAGCTGCAACTGAATTTGGGGTGTTCTTTGAACATATAAAGTGCTATATATTGCTAAATACTCTGAAAACTCAGGTCCTAGGTATCTCAAATTGGGCACCCAAAATTAGAGGATACTTTTTACTTTCATCTCTCCACCTCAGTTCTCCATCTATAAAAGGGATATCTCATCTCACAGGGGTTTTGTGAAAATAAATGTGATGATATTTGTGAAACCCTTAGATACCATAGTGATGAGTGCCACAGAAAAGCTCATGAGGAAATTAATAATTCTGTCTTCAGAGCAGGATTAGAATAATGTGCAGTAAACAAGGCACTGGGCCACTCATTAAACAATGAGAAAACAAAATATTGAATAGCTAGCTGCTACGTGAACACCATCCCATGGAAAAAATAATGTGATGATGTGATTGAAAACGGCATCATAATGCACACA